AGAAATAAATTTCTTTTTCCTCCAATATCATTTTTTGATGGAAACTTCCAGACTTACTCAGATGGGAGAAGGGGGGGAGGAGAACAAAAGACCACATTTCTTCTGCATTTCAATCAACAACCTCATTTTCTTCTAACAGTTGAAGTGAACTTCTTATGAATAATGGATGATGGCCTGATGAATATGCACACAGCCTATTATGCCTGTGAGGTTTGGTAAATAATTTATGAGCTAAAATGTTCCTCACCTTGTTACTGTACAAAAATTATGGAAAAAAAACATATTTACCCTTGGAGCTGGTAGGGTGGTCTGTCAAAGTGACAGCAGCCTAGTAATACAGTCCTATGTCATTGCTAAGATTACAGTAAATAGAATAAAATATATGCATTTCAGGGTGGGAGGTCCTTAAAAGCCAGAGTATGCAAGCCACATTTTGTGTCACAAATTTTCAAAAACTCTGGCTTCTCAAAAAACAAGCAAACAGCAACAGCAAAACACCTCTGGCTTCTCATCTTAAAATATCGCTGCATTGTTAACAGTACTCAGGGACCTTCTCCTTTCCCACCTACTCTGCTCACAAGGGCTTCCGTATGACCAGTCAAGATGGACAGCAGCTTCCTCATCTCGTGAAAAGCGGCCAGCCATGACGCACCGTAACATGCCAAAGCGTGCGATTCCGGAGACATTTCTTTAAATAATTCTAAAAGCTTTCCGAGAGAACAAACAGGTAGCACACAGAGGGGGAAAGCTGGCGGAGAAGCACTTGGAAATGCATTGCTGCCTTTTGTCTCCTCCCAGTTGAGAGGTTTTTCCTGCTGACCAACCTGACTCCCTGCTGCATCGTCCTCCAACTCACTCCCACCTGCCCAAGCCTCATTCCCTTAGCAACAGCAGTGATGCCTTTAATCTGGTGATTCGGGAGGAGGAGGGGCAAGATTAACTACGGCCACCAGGAAGGTGTTTGGGAAAATATGCCTGGATCCTGGGAAAATTTGGTGGTTCTATGACAATTTTGAAAACCTGGAACTGGGTGAGTTCTCAAGCCAGGGAAGATAGGACATCAGAGACTATGTGCCTAGATTCCCAGAGCTTTCTAGGAATGGAGTCCAGTGCCAAGGGAGACTCTCCGGCTCAACACTCTTGCTGTCCCGATATGCTGAGTGTTTGGTGGAGATCAGACAAAAAAGGAAACAGAGGTCCTGCCCCACATCTGCTGGGGAAACTAATATGTTCTCCAGAAAAAGAATGAATGGCCTATAAATGACAAATTATATACTGAAGTTATTGGAACAAATGATGTAATTAAAATAATATTAGAACGACATGGTATATTCAAGAAGGCTTTTTGCAGGAGATAAACCTTGAGTGGAGTTTGCAAAGGAAGGAAGACCCAATTACACTGAAAGATTAGAGGTATATATGGTCAGGCCTGCCTGATGTGGGCTCTGCCAATCTTCCCAGCCCCATTTTGTGCAATTTTCACTTGCTGTGCTCCAGCCATATTGATCGTCTTTCGGTTTCTTGAATGCCAAGTTCCCTCCTGCCAGATGGCCTCTGCCCTACCTCTGCCTCTGCTGTTCCTTCTGCCTCCTGCCAATCCTGTGTTTTAACGTTTGTCTTCCATTTCACTTCTTCAGAGAAGTCTCCCCTGCCCCCCAGTGTTATTCTCTTTCATATCACCTTCTTGTTTTCCTTCTTTCTTTTTTTTAAAGTTTATTTATTTTGAGAGAAAGAGCATGAGCAGGGGAGGGGCAGAGAGAGAGAGAGAGAGAATCCCAAGAAGGCTTTGTCTGCACTGTCAGCCCAGAGCCTGATGTGGGGCTTGAACTCCCAAACTGCAAGATCATGACCTGAGCCAAAATCAAGAGTCAGACACCTGACCAACTGAACCACCCAGGTGCCCCTGTTCATAGCAGCTTTATCTGTAAGGGACAAAAACAAGAATAACCCAAATGCCCATCCACAGTAGAATGGGTAAATCGTGGCATAATTATGCCACGGAATATATACAGCAACAAAAAAAGAACAAACAATACTGCCAGACACAACAACATGGATGAATCTCAGAAACATATGTTCAGTGACAGAAGGCAGACGCAAGAGCACATACTGTCTTGATTCCATTTATATGAAGTTCAAGAACCAGCAAAACTAATCTATGGTGATAGAATTCAGAATAGTGGTAACAGTTGAGTCTTCTTTGGTGTTGGGAGAATTCTACCTTTTTTTTTTTTTTTTAAGTAGGCTCCATGCCCAATGTGAGGCTTGAACCCAAGACCTTGAAATCAAGAGTTGCATGCTGTACTGACTGAGCCTGCCAGGTGTCCCGGAAATGCTCTGTATCTCATTGTGGGTGGTGATGATAATTATGTAAAGATTCAAATTGTACATTTAAGACTTAGGTACTTTACTGTGTGCACAGGTCAAACCTGAATTAAAAAAATTAACATACAAAGAAGTAATATATGCTCATCATCAAAAACTTAGGCAAGGCAGAAGTATACACAGTATAAATTAAAGGTTTCCTTTTTCCAGAGAAAACCACAATTAACATTTTGATGTTTGTCTCCTCCCACCCAAGCCCTTCCATCACATCCATTTCTTTCTTCAAACTATCCTTCATATTCATGTCATTCAAAGCATTTGATCCGTGTGTAGTCCTAAACCAACTCACATAGACTGAGTTTTTGCCTCCAAGTGATAATGTTCAAGTGTAAGAATGTGCCCCTTCTTTGCATAGAGCGATGGGAAATACAAAAATGAGTAAGTGACGGCTTGTGCTCTCGAGGAATTTACAGTTGGAGGGGAAAGACCACAGAGGCTACAGACCAAACAAAACTCCCAAGAGGGGCACTTGGGTGGCTCAGTCGGTTACGCAGCACACTCTTGGTTTCAGCTCAGGTCATGATCTCACAGTTTGTGCATTCGAGCCCCACATTGGGCTCCATGCTGACAGTGCGGAGCCTGCTTGGGATTCTCTCCCTCTCTCTCTCCCCCTCCTCTGTTCTCTCTCTGTCTCTTTCAAAATAAATAAATAAAGTTAAAAAAAATTTTTTTAAACTCCCAAGAGATAGAATACCATGACATGTATCAGAGTTTCACAAGGCCATTAAAGTGGATATAAAACTATTGTACAAATAATGATACATTACTGTACATTAATCCTCTTACATCTGTATAGAGCTTACAGTTTTCAAAGATTTTTACACACAGCCCCACTATTAAACTTCTTAACCCTAGGAAGTAGTGACTATAGGTATTATCCTCATTTTGTAAGTCATGAAGAAGTTCAATAACTTGCATGGACGGCAGGTGGAAGAGCGGGTACTAAAACCTAAGCCATCACTCCTTATCCATTGGTTTCTCATGAATCGGCCACCAGCAGTAACTCATCCCCCCTCCCCCCAAATGGAAACAGGAAATGGATAGCACCTGAGCCCTGCTGGCCCAGCAGATGATGACGCCAGGCCTCAAGAGGGAAGCTTCTGTGAGCAGGACCTCTGGGTGTGAGCAAGCTCCAGGTAACATTCTGGAAAAGTGTGTAGTGATGATCTGGAGACCCTGGTGCTGCTTCCCGTCTGCTCTTCCCCTGCAGTATCTTCCACCAAGGGGTCTAAAGAATAGTCTGGGAGGGCTGAGGCCTCACTACAAGTCTCCTCGCACTACCTGTAACTCCTCTATCTCCCGCTCTCCAGAAACCACCAAAATGGGGGTGGGGGTGGAGCGGACAGTAGGTGTGCAATCCAGGCCAACAGCTCGCCGCCTACATTGAGGGATCCACATTTGCTGAATTTACAGAGCCTGACTAAATTCTTCTCCCCTCATTCCTTCTCTTCCCCTTTTGGTCTTCCAATTCCTTCCTCTTCCACCTGCAACTACTCCAATCTGCTTTCCCTCAGCCCCAACTGCCTTTTTGAATCCCTTCTCCTACCTTCGAAAGCCTCTAGTAAACCACACCATCACCGCCAGCAAAGCAGAACATCGTTTTTCTCCATTTTACTGAACTTAGTCTTTCTTCCTTTTTTTTTTTTTTTTTTTTACATTTCTCCTCTACTTGGACAAGAAGGCAGGGAAGTTGTCTTTAGACAAGCCGGCCACAACCAACCGCCACTGGGTGAGGGTGGAGGGTGCATTCAGGGTTCCCTCCCTGAAACGGAGCCGGAGATCAACCGCTCTTCGACGCTGGCTGAGCGCCCATCTGAGTTCCCCCTTCTCTCTCGCGGTCTGGGGCTCGAGAATAGATCTGAACTTGACTTTAGGACGAGGAGGAGCACAGCTGAGTAACCTACAGTGGAAAGGCGGCGGCGACTGGGGGTCACCGTCCTCACCGCCCCAGCCCTAGGCTGAAGGGAACGTGGCACGGGGTCTCCGCTTCAGACTCCCGTGCTCCCTCTCTCGCACCTTCCAAAATGAAAGCACCTCGAGCAGCACCTCCGAGGCGGCTGCGTGACCCGCCCCACGGACCCTCCATTCCAGTCCGGCAAGAGAGCCCTAGGGGGCCTCCTGGCGTGGCCAAGGGCCAAGGGTGCCCTCCCCACCCCCACCCCTCGTTCCCCGCTCCCCAGATCCCCTCCCTTCACCACCCGCCCAGCCCGCCGCCCCCGGCGGCTGGCGCGCGCGGTGCAGCATGCGGCAAAGCTCTTTGCATAAATTATGCTCATGACGCAGCAGCTAAAAAAATCCAAGTAGCAGGAGGGAAAATAAGGGGGGGGGAGGGAAAGGGGGGGCCGTGGAAGGGGGAAAAGAAGAAAAATATATATACCTGCCCGCCCCCCCAGCTCCCCCACACCGCTTCCCGGCCGCCCCCCGCCCCCCTCTGCCCGGCGCAGCCCGCGGAGTCCCCTTCGGCTCTGCCCAGCCCGGCCTGGGGGCCCGGGGGCGGCAGCGGGTCCCGACCGGCTCCCGGGCCGAGCCGAGCCCAGCCAAGCCGCACTGGCTTCTTTGTCTGCGGGCGGCGGCCGCCTGGCCCCGGCCCCGGCCCCCTGGCCCGGGCTGTGAGATGAATCTGTAATCGGTGGCCGCCGGGCACCCGGGGCGGAGGCGGCTCGGGCTCGGGCTCCGGTAAGTAGCGGGGTCCGGGGCGGGGAGGGGTTTGCACGGACGGGGAGGGGGCCGGGCAGGGGAGGTTTCGGGTTTGGTTAATATGCAATGCCCGTAATTAGCATAATTTATATATTTATGATAAAGAGAAAAAATGCCGCGGGGCCGGGGTGCCGGGATGCCGGGATGCCGGGCCGGGGCGGCGGGGAGCTCCGGGAGTGGGACAGAGCGCGGCCGCCCGCCTGGGACCAGAGACCCCAGGGGCCGCGCCCTCGTCCGCCCGCAGGCCGGCGGGGACCCGCGGAGGGGAGGGGGCTGCCGCCAGGTGGACCCCTTGGGGTGCTTGGACCTGGCCCCTCCCCGTTTCTGCCCCTGGAGCCCTGGTGGGGTACAGACCAGAGCGGACGTTACGTACACAGACTCGGTGGCGACCAGAAGCTTGATTTTTGCCCCGCAGGAGAACCTGGACGCCTGGGTTCCTGGCGGTTAAGGTCAACTGAGGCGGCCTGGGCGACCGGTCATAATTCTCCCCAGCCACAGTACTGGTGGGACTCAGGGTTAGGAACCCAGGCGTTGCTGGATGGGTGGGGGAATGGTGGGAGGGTCACCATGGAGCAGAGCATGAGCGCTTCATAAATATTTAATAACGATATTATTATTAATAGTCATAATAATGGGCCCGTTAGGTGCTTCCTGGCCGTTCTCACCGGGCAAGGCCAAGGGAGCCCCAGAGTGTCTTCTAATCCCCACTTTAGCGTTGGGATCCCCCGCTCAGCTGTGATTGGAAGCCTGAAACCACAGAATAGCCTTGGCTGCAGGGCAGGGAGAAATAAAACACTGTCAGGAAGCCTTTCTGGGCAAACGAAAAGAAGTTCTTTGCAAAGATTTTTAGCCTCATCTGCTCTTCCCGATTCCTCGTTCCAAAAGTAGAGGTTGGTCTTCAATTGTTCTTAGACATATATCTTGGTATTTTAAGGCAGCCAACTTTGACAAGCAGGGTCTAATGAGGAATAATTCCATATATTTCCTTTTGATGGAAGTCCTGGTGCTCTCAGGGGGATATTTCTGCGACCTGGTTTTTTGTTGTTTTGCATCTGTGCGGTAGAACTTCATTCATTTTGTGTATTGGTCCAACAAAAATACGCAGTATATGCCATGTTCTGAATAATACAGACAGAACTTACCCTGTCACGGAGTTTTCATTTCTGTTTAGATGGGGGTGGTAGTTGGGTGGTGGTTAGTCCTGCGGGCACAGCAGGAACGTAGATTATAAACATGAAAGCAAAAAAAAATATATATATATATATACATATATATATATAAACATGAAAGCATACAAGGTAGTATCATAGAGTGGTGATGATGATGATGATGATGGTGTGTGTGTGTGTGTGTGTGTGTGTGTGTGTGTGTGTGAGAGAGAGGCAGAGGGAGATGAGATCACTTCACTCTCCGCAAGATTTACTGGCTATAAAATCATAATACTATTCTTTCATATTTTTTAACACTTTGCAATTGAAAACGTTTTTATATCATGCCTTACTTCAATTGAAAATAAAAAACAATGATAGCAACAGTTACATAGTGTGTGCTGTGTGCCAGGCCCTGTTCTAAATGCCTAACATCAATCTTACCAGTTTAATCCTTACAATGACCCATGAGGTGGATACCGTAATTTAGCCCTGTTTTACAGAGAAGAAAACTGAGGCTTAGAGAGCTTACTTGAGGAGAAGCAGTACTCAACCTGGGTCTTCTGCCTTTAAGCCCCAAGCTCTTTCTGTGTCAAAATGTGGGTCAGTGAGCCCACAGAGGGAATGGGAGGGAAGCTGGGTCGCCATAGTAGAAAGGGGTAAGTGTGGTCAGGGTTCTCCAGAACTTATTGTTACTTCTTTTTTTTTAATTTTTATTTATTTATTTTTGAAAGAGAGAGAGAGAGCAATTGGGGAAGGAGCAGAGAGAATGGGGCACAGAGGATCTGAAGCGGGCTCCTCACAGACAGCAAAGAGCCTGATGTGGGGCTCGAACCCATGAACCAGGGATTCATGACCTGAGCCGAAGGCTGCTGTTTAACTGACTGAGCCACCCAGGTGCCCCTATTGCTACTTCTTTGAAATAATTTTTAAGTAGTCCTAGCACTGAAAATGGGGGCAAAAAAAAATTGAAATAGGATCTGTGTTTTGAGGGAGAAGGAAATATGAGGAAGCCAAGTGATATCACCTGATTCCTTAGTTTATGTTTTTGGCTCATAGTCATCAACCCCTATTATGTACAAAGTATTGTACTAGGCACTGGGGTATGTTAATAAGTGGATGTATCTTGGAGCTTACAATCTGCTCTGGGAATTGAACTACTTTTTATTTTTCACATTTCATTTGCCCCCTCCTTACACCCTGCCTCTGATGGATCATGTTTGGGCACAAAGGAAAAGGTACAGGAGGAGAGATGAAATCTAAATGTGTCCTTATTAAGCTAGCTTTACTGTTCACCTATATGTGTCCAAGGTTATATTTCTTTTAAATTTTAAAAAATTTTTTAATGTTTTATTTATTTCTGAGAGAGAGAGAGAGACAGACAGTGTGAGCAGGGGAGGGTCAGAGAGAGAGGGAGACATAGAATCCAAAACAGGCTCCAGGCTCTGAGCTGTCAGCACAGAGCCCAATGTGGGGCTCGAACCCACGAACCGTGAGGACATGACCTAAGCCAAAGTCGGGTGCCCAACTGACTGAGCTACCCAGGTGCTCCTATATGTGTCTAAGATTATAAATGGTAGTTTAGAAAATGGGAATTAAAGTCATTCACTACTTTCCTATCTTTTCCCCCTTTTGCTTTCTTCTGGCCCATGTATATACCTAGCTGTTCTTGGACCTACCAAGGGCTTACCAAGCCTTTTATCTCTGCTCACGGATGGGGTAGGGGGGCAGCGCTGGAGGAGAACTGAGAGCTTCCATTTTCCAATGTGTCCTGATCCTTTGGGGCCAGAATAGGCCCCTTCCATTTCCGGAGAGGAGGGTTGGTTTTGTGTTAGTAGGATAGGGATCTGGGGCAGGTGGACCCTGACTTAAATTTTGAAACTGCCACGGACTTTCCTGTGCCCTTGGGCAAATCACCTGACCTTTCTCTACCTCCATTTCCCTGTCGATAAAACTGGGAATCATAATAAGACCACCATGCTAAGCATTTTACTGATATGATCTCATGTCACCATTATAACAACCCCATAAGGTCTTTCCATTTAATCACCATGTTAAAGATAATTGAGCTGCCGAGAGAGTAAGTCAGTTGTCCAAGGTCACACAGCTATTTCATGGCCAAGCTGGGATTTCAGTCTAGGTAGTCTATAGGTAAGCCTATACCCTTACCTCTCGTTAACCCCCAACTTTCTATCTATAAAAGTGGGAGTAATAATAATTGTTCTTAGTGTTTTATACAATAATTCCAAGGTAAGCTCTTGTATTATTTATCCCTGAGAAAACAGAGAAGTAACGTGCCCCTCTGTGGAAAGTCACACAATTGGTCAAGCTTCTGTGTGTATTTGCTCAATGGCTTGGGGGGCTGGTGTCAGAATTGAATAATAATAGTTAATATATATTGAACCCTTATGCAATTTACTACAACACTAGCCCCATTTCAAACATGGTAACTGAGGCATAGAGAGGTTAGGTCCTTATCCAAGGTCTCATGATGAAGAAATCCTTTATAATTTTTTTTCTAATTTATTTTGAGAGAGACAGAAACAGCACAGTGGGGGAGGGGCAGAGAGAGGAAGAGAGAGAATCCCAAGCAGGCTCCACACTGTCAGTGCAGAGCCCAATGTGGGGCTTGAACCCATGAAACCATGAGATCATGACCTGAGCTGAAACTAAGAGTCGGACACTGAACCGATTGAGCCACCCAGGTGCCCCGTCACAGTGAAGAAATCTTAAAACTGAGAGGTGAATCGGTTCTTAACTGCTACACTAAATTGAAATGAGATCATCTATGTAAATTTTTATAATAACTACCATTTTCTGAGCCCTTCCTATGTGCCAGGCATCGGTCTAAACTTTTTACATGCATTAATTTATTCAGTCCTCACTATAACCCTATGAAGTAGGTGCTGTTTCTCTCATTTTTTTTTCAGATGAAGAAACTGAGGCACAAAAGTTAAATCATTTGTCCTGAGGCCTACAGCTAGTAATTTTTATCAAAGCTGAGATTATGAACCCAACAGTCTATCTCCAGAGGGTGCTCCCTGTAATACTATGTGCAAAGGGCATGTGTCTCAATAAACTATAAATGATTATTATTCTTCAGCAGGTGTGAGCAGGGATATCTGGGTTCTGGGACCAGAAATGGCGAAGGGTAGGAGGACATGCAGAATATCCATCAGGTGATAATAACTCAAAAGAGGTGGTGGCCTGTCTGGAGTCTGGCGATTTAAGAAAGGGACAGATGATCCTTGTGTGCAGGAGGGTACCTACTTCACACCACATACTAAAGCTGTGTGGACCAATATGGCAGTGATAAGCGGGGGGATTCTGGACATATTGGAAGGGAGAGCCGATGGGATTTGGTGAAGGAGTAAATGTGAGCAGGAAGGGAGCAGGCAAGGGCGATGGCAAGGATTTTGGCCTGAGCATCTATGGGAGGATGCAGTTGCCCGTTGGCTGAGATGGCAAAGGCTACGTGCAGGTGGAACAGGTTTGAGCTAGGAATCTAGAGTTTGCTTTTGAACAGGTGGAGTATGAGATGATATGAACAGTTAGTAGGCATTTGGATACATGAGGCCGAAGTTCCTGGAGGCCGAAGTTCCCGGAGGAGGGCCCGGCCAGAGATTTAGATTTGTCCTTGTGCAACGGAGTGAGCCACCTAGGGAGGAAGTGAGGAGGTGATGGCACCGTTAAGCTCAGCCCCAGTTACCAATCTGTGTGAATCTGCCAGTCTCTTGCTTCCTGTCTTTGTGGCCTTTTTGAACGGCAGCTCTGCAAGAGGTAAGTGGGGACACAACTTAAACATAAAAGTAAAAATAGTGTAGAGCTGGA